GTTTTTGTGAATATGGCCTTTTCTTTTATCCTGAAGTGTAAAAATAATAATAATTGTTAAAATTCACTATATATACAACCCCACCCCCACCCCTACTCCAGCGGCCGAAAAAGTCCCCCTTTAACAAACTTGAAGTGGCCCACAGGCCAGCAGTTGATAATCACAGTTTTTGCATGCGCATATTTTATTAGTGAGCCAATGGGCAGAAATGGCTCTTGGGATCATTCAGGTTGCAGACCCCTGCCCTGGAGCCACAGGTTGCAGCCCCCTGATGCAGGCAGCCGTGTGGATAAGGTTACACTGCTCCCTGCTGGAAACCTGCACAATCGCAGACAAACCAGAGCTGAGCCACAGCCTCCCTCCCTCCCTCCCTGCTCACCCCTTTCAGTGTATTTCATTAGTCTTGTAAATTAAGAAATCCTAACTGCCACACTACATCCATTCCCGTAGCCATTTGTGCACTGGATGAGATGAGTGAGGAGAATTTCCACGCATTCGTTTACAATGTTGGGAGCCACGTTGAGCAGACCTGTAAGGATGATGAATTAGCACAAATCTGGTTTACATAACGTCATTCGTCAAGCCAGCAAAATCCATACCGCGGCACAGGAGTGAGGATTTCTGTTGCAGCAATTAGACTTTTAATGGCTCATTGTTCACAAGCTTGCAGTGATGAATATGGTTTCCTTGGGATGAAACCTTGCTTTCGCTGTGACGCGCTCCCATACATTGTGCACATGTTGACAAATTACGGCCTGCTTATTTGTTTGACGGTACTAAACCTTTCTTTCTGCAGCTTGCGAGCACAGATAATGAGGACATCATTCTGAAAGCTGATCATTAGAGATTTTGCTAATGCATATTTCTCCCTCGTATCCTTCACTTCTAACAATGAGGGATGTTGCCGAGCAAACCCCACGCTGATAAATCCTGCGTATCAAACTAATGAATTGCACGAGTCCTGGCTAAGATACTCTTTGTTTTCCAGCTCCGAATGCACTCTTTCCAACTTGACAAACATCTTGTCAGGCTGTGGATGCTCAGTAATAACACACATAATGAAATACGTACATAAAAAGGAGTGTAACTTAATAGCACTTTAGCTTTTGTTCTATCTTCCTTTTATCTGTTAAGTCATGAGTGGGAATATTGATGAACTAGTTGATAAATGAAGCCGCTGATGGTAATTTCACAAGTAATTAGATTTGATTTGTTCTGTAACTGGATGCTTAGTTAGATTAAGCCAATAGATTTAACTAAATCAGTGTTACCTGGTGCTGTTGGTCCTTAAAATAATACAAATGTGTTTTGGGGTTCTTTTTCCCAGCTGGCGTGCCTTTCCTCATCACCGCAGAGCTCTTTAAGCAATCTCACCGACCGCCTGCCTACACTGTTGCTGGTTGCCTCAACTGGTTGTCCAACTTCACCATCGGCTTCATTTTTCCCTTCATGGAGGTCAGAGCTTTTAACTTTCCTCCGTACGGCTTTTTCTACACTTAATCTATCTGTGCCACATTCCGGACTAAACGATATTGTTGCACCTCTACGGCTACTTTGTCTCAGTTTTGTTTATATTCCTTCTTTAAGATTTGTTTGTGAATACGAAGGCAGGAATAACGTTCTGCTCCGGGAAAGAGTTTCTGCAGTGATTGGAACAAATCTTTGGTGCTAACAGTTTAAGTGCCTGTGACATAAACTTTTTGTAATAAACATGAATGTATTTTTGAGAACAGAACATTGATAACATATTGCAAAACAAATTTCATGCTGCTGAGATGAAAAGTTGTTGAGATATTTGCACGTGAAGAAACAGGAAGTGATGTCAAAGTGGAATGTCTGCATGTAAAAAGAGCATTGTTACAACAGCTGATAACAGATCGTAGAGAAGGATCTGATGTTTATTTAGATTAAACACAGATGATGAAGAGTTAAAGTTTAAATGATACTGTTTAATAAACAAAGAACAGAGAGTTTATTTTATTAATGACTTCCCCTTTGATGTCACTTCCTGTTTCACTTTGGCTGAGCCAAATTCTAATGAAAATAGGCCAATTATGTGATAAAATGGGTAAAATCATGTATATCATGTAAATTTTCTTAAGTATAAGGATGTTTTCTATGAGTTTTTGTATTTGAAGGACATGCGTGTCACAGGTACTTTAAAAAGACACAAATGTAAAGTAACTCAGTCAGTTTTACAGATACTCAGCTAGAAATCGAAGCTGAGAGTCGTTCACAACGCTTACTGTGAGGTTTGTGTTTTCCAGCCACAGTTCTGTTTTTTCTTGGTGCACCGGGTGATATGCATTCCTTCAAAGGATGCTTGGCACTTTTTGTTTGCTAATGTTGATTAACTGTGGCAGCCATCTTGAACTGGATTGTTCCAAACATCAGTGAGTTATAAGTTATTTTGGTAAGAGACAAAAACATTATTTCCTGCAGCTGTAAACCTCACTTTGAGAAAATACAGCCTTCTTCCTGGTGTTTAATGATTACAGCGTTCACACTGAGAGAGAGAGAAATCCATGCAGGAGGCGCTTGTTTAAAGCTGGTCTTCATGCGTCCAAATTGAGAAATTTATTAGGTCAGAGCCAAGATCAGAGAAAATGTTTGTTCAGCATTTTGCAGGAATTGTTTGACTTTTATAGGATCTTTCTCTGCGTAGTGATGAAAGCCCATTTTAATGGTTTCTGTCGCCTCTCTCCAGGAAGCTACCGGTCCTTACTGTTACCTGATCTTCTGTGCGATCTGCTGGGGCGTGGCGGTGTACGCCGTTTTTATCATACCTGAGACCAAGAACAAAACCTTCCTGGAGATCAGCCAGATGTTTGACGACAGAAACGGCGACATCCTCGACGAAGGAGAAGTGACTTCAAACCTGAAGATGGGACTGATGAACGGCTACGGAACGATGGAACAGCTGACATGCTGACGCTGTTCCAAGGATGAACTGAAGATTTTATTTTTTTCTTTTAAACAAGTCGAATAAACCAACGTGCAAAACTTGCTTGTTCTTTCTACATGTTAGGGTCTGTAGAGTTCTCAGACATAATGAGCTCTGTGTGGCTCAGAAGTCAGAGTCATGTGCATCAAATTAGCTTTTAGTCACATTTAAACAATTTCCTGCGATCTGGAAGCTTAATTAGTGGGAAATTAGTTGTTTTCTCACATTTCTTACAAAGTTTTCATTTTATGCATTTGTGTAGGTATTTTTGAACACTAATTATTTTGCAACAGAGACAAAACACATCTTAGGCATGAGCTTTGCAAAAGTTATGAGCCACTCAAACCTTTTCTTCCAAGGAGACAAACCTTGCCATTCTTCTGAAGGTCTTTTAAAGTTTTATTTTGGTCTTTGGCTAATTTTCCACTCATGTTTGGTGCAAATTTAATGAGGTATGTCTTTATTGAGCCACAAAAACCCCTTAAACTCCCAGAATAACGTGTTACAGACAGATCAGGACCTGTTTTAAGGCCATTTGTTGGCTATAAATAGCTTCATAAGGAATAAGATAAAACCCAAACCTTACCTATGAAGTCTAAAAGTGTCAGCCTTTTAAACAAACTGGAAGTTTGATCCATAACAGAACTGAGAGTGTTGCGTCTCATTTTAGAAACTTTAGGAACCACAAGTAATCAAAAAGAAAAAATAAGTAGGTCCTCTGGATGGGTTCTTCTTTAGTGAAACGTTTCGTCTCCTCCAAGAGACTTCTTCAGTCTGATGAGTTTCAGGTGAACTCAGTCTTATAAGCACTGCCTCCACATGGACAAACAGGTTAGTCACGTGCAAAAGAGAGCCATCGACTAACAATTGGCTTGATTGGCTCTATTGTTCATAGAGGGTCATGTGTCCCATCACCTGACTTATTGGTTTGGATGCTTCGACTGTGGTTATTTGGTGTTTTGTCATGTGTATGTAGTGAGTGCAAGCGGGGTTCAATGTCCCCTTGTTTTTGTCTCTCTTTCCCTCTTTGTCTTGGTATCATTGGGGCCTTGATTCACACCTTTTGCTCACAGGGCGCTGAGTCCTACTTGCAATAACAGCGTTGTAGGAGGAGGACAACTGGACACGAAGGCCTCCACCTGTGTTTAATGGTGCACGGTTTTTCTTCACAAAGATGGCTTCCTTTACTTCTCTCTCAAACCAACGTTCCTCTCTATCAAGGATGAGAACATCTTCATCCCTGGAAGTGTGACCGCTGGCCTGTAGATGAGTGTAAACTGCAGAGTCCTGACCTGTAGATGAGTGTAAACTGCAGTGTCCTGACCCGACGAAGTAGCTCGTCTGTGCTGGCTCATTCTTTTGAACAGTGGCTGTTTTGTTTTCCCAATGTAACACAAGTAAACCTTTATTCTGAGGTTCAAGTGTCCTGTAAGGAAAATATGGAAGTTTAATATAAAATGGTGTTATGGCAATATTTATTTAACAACAGAGACAGAAATACGCTCCTCAAGAATGAAGGTACTCCGTGGGATGATCAGCTGAGTTTTATTGCAACA